TCCGATCTCAGGAATGCTCTCCTGTGTAACTTCCAACTTGTGTGTCACCCCTCCCTTGTACACTGTTCCAGTTCTCATGTCATACCAGGATTGTTGTCCAGGCAAATAGACCGATGCATGCTTAGCTCGCTGCCAGTGACAAAGCATTATAAAAACTTTAGTTAAAGACCATAAAAAGAAGGAATTGATTTGCAGAAGAAAACATATATGTATCTGGAAACTGATTAAAACACCTCAGTATAGATCCCTTGCACTAAAAGACTGCTCCCGACCATGAAAGCTTCATCGTTGCTAAAAGTAGCTTCATCAGATGGGAATTCCATCCACAATGGACGGACCACGGGAACACCAGTAGTGTTAGCCTCCCTGAATAATGTGTAGAAATACGGGAGAAGTGCATAACGAACATGTATTGCATCTTTAATCAATTCTGTATTTCGTTCTCTGCAATAGCACAAAAACAATCACTTTACAATGTTGACAAACAAATTCCTACAGACTGGACTGCATATGATAGTCAAGGCACGCAATAGGTACTTTTAGTGCATTTGCATCAAATTCAACTCTAATAGTTCAATCAGTATCACCACTTATTAACCCCTCCTGTGCGTGCAGGGGAGGTGCAGTCGCATGGGAGTAATTGTCAATTTCGGTGGCCAAGTGTCTTTGAGAAACGAATTTGCAGTTATAATATAGATCTACAATTAATTTAGCTCCGCTTCATTTACATCTAAGATTTGCATAGTATTTCTGTGGAAAGGTTCATCCCTTTATAGAGATTAGCCTGATATAATATACATCATCCTCTTGAAAAATGTTTCACTGACTTTTTAGAGGCTATCAGCTCTTAACCAAAGAAAAGAACGGTAAAAGAAGTATTGTTCAATCGTTGATGAATAAGTATAATAAAGGAGTACCCAAAAAAAACTGTGATATTTTAACTTTTGGACAAAGAAATCTTAAAGTAAAGCAGTCCTACCCAAACAACCATGGCTCTCGTCTTTTTGTGTCATGATGGGCGTGGGCTCTAAAGAAAGGATAGTAAGCTCCTATCTGATACCATCGAACCAATAATTCAGGTTCTGGATTCCCGAAAAATCCACCAATATCAGCACCTGCGTTATGCACATGAACTCTTAAGATAATATGAACAAAGGGGAGGAAATCCCTAACTCATGCAAATAAGTATATAATTGACTAAGGATATATGAAGAAAAGAATAAAGAAATAATAAATACATCATGAGAAGAACGATACCCACCAGAGAACGACATCCCAGTAAGACCAAGGGTCAAAATCATTGGAATAGAAACTCTTAGGTGATCCCAATCAGCGGTGTTATCCCCAGTCCAAACTGCTCCATACCTTTGACTTCCAGCAAATAATGCTCTTGATAAGACAAATGGCCTATCTTTACCCTCACCACGTTTCAGTAGCCCATTAGCTGTCGCCATGTGGAAGTAATATCCGTAGGCATTGTGCAACTCCCGGTGTTCCACACCTCCATAGTGTAAAGCATCTCTAGGCATTGACACCTGGATACAATGCATGCAATCGTATCTCAGTTTTCCTATCTCCAGGTGGTGGGCATTAGAAGTTTATTAAAGGCAAAAAAAAACTTAAGGGGGCATGTTACAAAAGCAAAGTGCATATGTGGACCACATGGAATCCATGGATCCAAACTCTGCTTCTCAAGTGACATAAAAATTTAAAGCATACAAAACAGACATCATGAAAAACAGACATAAGATAACAGCACCCAGAAACTGAATCACTATACAATTACAGCACATTGACAAGATATCCAGCAATTTTAGCCAGCTATTCCCTCTTTTCTTCCAGATTTATTAGTCAATGTTGGTTTGGTTTCACTAGGACTCGGCCAAATTTCAGAATATCCCTCATATTATCTTATATTGGTAGAACCTTTCTTAGCTGGGGAAGTTTTATTTTCATTTCATCATGCTCCCATCCTTCTCCTCCTCCTCCTCCATATTCTTCTCCTTGAGTGCACTTATATACAATAACCAAGCTACCATTCTAGCGCCATAACCATTAAATTATATGAATGATGATGGTGTGACTGATAAGTTTGATGATATTGGCCTGTAGTAATCTATATGCATGTATTTTCTCTTTTATTAAACATGATGCCTTAGAGACAACATTTGTTTAATAGCTAATCCTAAATTATGAGGTTACTAAGGATTAAAAGTCAATATTGTGCTAAAGCCCTATTTAGATAGCTTTCTCCGTAAGTACTTAAATGATAAAAAATAAAAAGGAAAATGAATTAAGTTTGTCTATGAAACTAATATGAAAAAACTTATAAATTAGCTTATGCACGAACTAATTTAAGCTTATGAAAAAAGCTTATTTCCTTTTTCTTTTTATTTTCTTCTCTCAAATACTTATGAGAACTTTATCCAAACATGGCCCAAATCATTACAAATTTCATTGCTTTAGAAACTCATAAAATCTTGAAGCATCGCATTCATAATAGTTATGGAAATGCACAGTGATAGTAAGTTCCTTCAAGCACCCGATTCATTTTATATTTGCAAAGAGTCTCTAAACCACTAAAAAGGCACATTATAACTTCCAAATCACAATCAAAACAAGGAAAACTAAATGACATACCTCTGGCCCATTGAAAACAGAAGGCTCGTTCATATCATTCCATATGTAAAGCGAAGGCGTAGACCCAACATAATTCTGGTAAGAAAACTTCTCAGCCCACCACTCCCTAATCTCCGGGTTCAAAGTATCCGGATACGAGGAGGAACCCGGCCAGCACCACCCATCAAAGTCATTGCCACTAGCATCCTTCACGTAATACCCCTTCTGCGAAGCCTCCTTGTGCAAATGGAAATTCTCATCCCGCTTAATATGAGGATCCACAATAGTGACCATTTTCCTCCCCTTATCAGCCAGCTTCCTCTGCATCTCCTGAGGGTGCGGAAACAGAGCACTATCCCAAGTAAAATACCTCTTCCCATCAGTATGCTCAATGTCAAGCCACAACACATCATAGGGAATATCCAGCTCATCAAACTTGGAATCCACGTGCTCAACATCCTCTTCATCGCGGTAATTCCACCGGCATTGATGGTATGCGATCGAGAAGAGCTGCGGCATGGCCGGAGTCCCGGTCACCGCCGTGTACTGGCGCAGCACATCCTTAGGGCCTGGGCCAATGAAAAAGAACGCGTCGACAACACCAGCTTCACTCATCCAAAGCGTGTCAATGCGATTAGAAGGAAGCGCGATGTGGGAATCGGCAGAGTCGGAATCCCAGCCAGGGGCGAGAACGTCGATTTGCATTTCGGCGGCGTTGAGCCAGAAGAATCCGGTGGTGCCTCTGGTTTTGCCGTGGGAGAGCATGAAGGGGATGGAGCCGTAGAGGCCGAAGGGGGAATCGTGGATGTATTCGAAGACGTCGAGGTTGAAGAGGCGATAGGGTTCGGAGTGATCGACGTTTGGGCCTCTGGTGGGCCTGAGGGCGAGGGAGGTGGCGCGTTCGGGGATGCCGTAGAGGGAATCGGCGGCGTGGAAGGAGACGTCGAAGCTGATGGATTGGGGGCCGTAGGGTCTGGAGTCGGTGTGGGAGCGGAAGCGCTCTTCCCAATCGTCGCCTTCGGATTTGTGTTGGAGGGGCTCGAAGTCGAAGAGGCCGCGGGAGTTGAGGGAGATGACGCGGTGGCCGGAGGCGTCGTGGCGGATGAAGAGTTCGAAGGGGTCGTGGCGGAGGACGGCGGAGTGGGCGTCGGAGAGGAAGACGGAGGAGGCGGTGGCGTTGTCCTCGGAGGTGAGGCGGGGGAGCCAAAGCTTGGTGGAGGGGAAATCGGAGACGACGACGTCGGGGAGTTGGAAGCGGGTCTTGGGAGGGGAGAGGGAGGGGTCTTCGTCGATTCTGAGACGGAGGATGGAGTCTTGGTGGACGGAGAGGGTGAGGATCAAGGGTTTGGAATGGGGATCGTGTTTGGGGGTGAGTTTGGCGGTGAGGTCGCCGTCGGAGATTGTGACGTGGGAGGCGGCGAGGGAGGAGGTGCCGGGGGCGCGGGATCGGGCTCGCTTGCAGAATGGGGCTTGGTCGCAGGTTCGGAATTCGTCTTTCTTCCAGGAGAGGGTGGGGCGGAGGTGGGAGCAGAGGAAGAGGAAGAGGAAGAGGATGAAACGCAGCGTTTGGTTCCTCATCTTGTTCTCACTGTGGAGAGTGAGTGAATGAGTGGAGATATGGTTATGGTTGGCGCACTCAGCAGAGACTCGGCATCTCTCTCTCACGCTCGCTGGTGATCGCTTGACTTTTTAGCTTTTCTTTGGTTTGGGCTTCTGTCCAGTTTACACACGACTTTGAGACCATGCCCGGTGATCAACAAATCTCTAAGTTTCCCAACACCATGTTAATTTTTACTTTATTTTATTTTTATTACAGACTATCATGTTAGAGGTTCACATTTATTATATTTTTACATTCAAATTTTGAATTTAAAACTCAAACAACTTCATATAAGTTGAATTTCATCATACATGTATAGACCAAATTGTTAAGACTTAGAGATGATCATTATGGATGGAAAAACTTTCGTTCGGAGTATTTATTATAGCTACATATTTTACGATTTAAGATTCAATACTATTAGTTAAACTAAAATAATTTTGTATTAATTTTGTGTCAAGTTGTAGTGAGATATATCAATTAAAAATGAATGGTGATACTTGCACAATAAAATTATATCATAATAATACTTTTTTTATTTATTTCTCTCCATGGTAAATTAAGTGTAGAGTGAGAAAAATACAAAATCAATAGCATATTGTATAATTGTCGTATATTATTATTCCAATAATAAGTTATAATGTTTATTACCGAAGCATTCGTTTGATTTGTCTTTCTCTTCACTATTTTTCTCCTTTTACAATTGCTCTTCTTACCCTTATGGGATTGGTAATTGTTCAAAAACTTCTCCAATTTAATGTGTTTTAAGGGTAGGTATAATCATGTTGATTGAAAATTTGGGATACTCCTCTTGCTTGTAGTTGTCCACCCTCGATTAAGACTCTCATTGGGCTTAGGCTTATGATTTTCATAGGGTGGAGATTGGATATCCATATGAAGAACTCTCTAGAATAAGATCAAGAAGATCATAACTTTGGAGGGATGAGTTTAGCTATACTCTATCATAGAATGAGATGTCAATTTTGTACCACTTTTGGAGGATCAACTACATAGATGAGTATGAGCTTGAAATATAAGGGCACGAGACGGTGTTACAAATCTGGGACAATCAAAGATACACAACTCCACAAACTTTGAACTATTAGCGAAGAAGTTTTTTGATAAAAGTTCGATAAAATGTTTCAAATCTAGGATGATAAGAGATACAACTACTATTTAAAAATAAATAAATAAACTCAAGACAATATCAAAATTAACAATTCTCACTTTGAAATATTTTAGGTGGAAAAGAAGGTTTAAGAGATTTGCAAAATAATTTAAAGCGAACGTGACTATCATAAATAGCTAACATTATTCGCATGTCATAAGGTTACTTTAGATCTTGGCAAAATGGACCGGATTAATTAAGTCAAATCAAATTTATATGATGAAATTTAAGAATTGAATCTCAAATTGAGTTCAAATTAAACTCGTTTTCAATTCGATTCAACCATGATTCAATTTGGGTTTAGTTTGCTAAAACCCACCAGGAAAAAAAAAAGTAACTTCATGTTAGAAACCGAACTTAAATTCAGACCTTTTCTGTCTGACCGTTATAATCTGCAATTTGTACAAGGTCAAATAATCCAATTTTTACATCCAGGATAAAAGTAAAAAAGAGATGAAATGAATAAAATGAGAAATCAAAAATACTTTTGATTTTGTTTACGTGGTTTAAAAATAAGATACGAAACATCTATGTATATTATTATTACACATAGCATAAGCATGCATACAAAAATATAAGAATTTAATTAGAAGCACGTACTAATATAAACTTTTAAATTTTCATCCGGTCATGATATATCTTATATATTAAGATTGTTGACAAGAGCCAAATGCTTTAAAAGTTTTAATTGATTAACAATATAAAAAATTACATTGACATTATCTCAAAATTAAAGTCCAAAAATATAAGGCGTAATCATACATACAAAATTGATCACATGTACAGAAGGGGACTTTCTATGCCCAGATATTTGGTGATTTGCAGACAGACCAAGAGATAACATTCCAGAGGAAAAATACTATCTGCATGTTTGGTTATACGTTTGATAGCTTTTGATCCGTGACAAGGCAGAAGTTACAAATAGTAGCTTCTTTCTTCAACATGCAAACAAACACGCTGAAAGCAAACATTGGTGGGACAACTCTATTGCAAAAAGTAATACGGGGTTATCTTTTGCCCAACAGTGCGTCAAGGAGTGCAGCTTCTTCCTCCTACATTCAAGATAACTCAAACCACTTAAACAAATGGAGTCAAACTTAACCAAAAGGAGTATCACTTTGAATGAATAAAACCACATACCACCAAGGCATTAAATTCAGTCTCTTCATCTATAGCGCTAGTGATAGCAGGATCCTCGAGCAGTTCCTATTCACAAAAAAGTTGAGTAAGCAACCTCTCGTCATCATGAAATCAGAACTTGTATGCCCCTTCCCCCATTGATATTAAACCTTATGATGCCCATTAGATAGATAATAAGAGAGAGAATTGTGCATCCCTTCGAATAGGAATAGGATACACCAGTGCAAAGCAAATAAGAACCGTTAGACTAAATGGGGAAATGGACAGTTTGAGGTTGTTAGGAAGTTTTAATTGTTTGTGAAAACCAAATTATCCGCAACACATGGGAACTGAGAAAGGAAATATTGACAAAATTCTGTAATGAGTACCAACTTACATCGTCTGCAATTTGCAACATCCCGTTCTGATCCTGCAGTGAAAAGCTAAATTAATTATGTTTGGCTTTAAAACACTGGTTTCATGTGCTAATCTGATAAACTGTGGAAACGAAGAGTACTTTGACACTAAATTCACATTGGTATTCTGAACAGTTTCCAGTCAAATCAACCATAAAATGGATTTTATAAGAGAGAAAAAAGGTCTTGGGTAAGGATGTGTTTGGAAAAGTTGTAAAAATTAGATTATTACAATAACCAATTATATAAATAATCAATTACTACTATAATTGAGTACAATCTAAATGAAATTTAGTTTAAATAAATTTGCTAATAAGAGATTTTAAAATGTTTAATTTCTTTTGGATACAACAAAAGCTTTTATATAGTAAATCAACTAAAAGGAAAAAAAGTTGTTCAGAATTAATCATAAGTTTCAAATTTTCAACTTCATAAAAACAACTTAATTTTTTGGGAAAAAAAAAGTGGTTCACAAATTTAAGCTGATATCCCAAACACGTAGTTTTTTTTTTTCTTTTCAAAAAACAGCTGCAATGATAGATTATAATCTGTACCAGACACATTCTAAATGGAGTGTTGCACATTGTTCAACAGAGGGAGATGGGAGTAGTTGTTTTAAGAAACTTGACATGGATGCTTACCTTGATAGCAACAAAAAGAAGTGGATCAGATGGTGTATATATCATGTAGTGTGCTTGTTCCTGCAGCAAAATTGATATAAATAAGCAAGCTCTAAATTTTAATGCCCATATTTTTCTACATTGGGGCAGTAAAAGACTAGAGCCTAGAAGTTACTTCAGCAAAATATAAATTAAATGACAAGTAAACGTGCAAGAAATATATCCTAACTACAGATATGCAATAAAAAGAAGTCACGAAAAACAATATTGATTCATAAATCATAGCGAAAAGGAAAGCTAACATGACTTGGACTGCACAACGATCTTTAAGACATGAATTTGAACTTGATTCATAAATCATAGCGAAAAAGATGATTTTGAATTTCTCACAGTTGTCAAGTATGAACTATGATGAGGCATGAATTTGAGGGTGCGGCAGAAATAGTAGGCGTCATGTTTACTCCAACGATCTTTAAGACACAACATGTAAATATAAATATTATTACTATTGGAGAAAGTATCTCCTGTTTGGGGCCTATATATTCGCTATTAATAATTGAGAATTTATGTAAAAAAAAAATCTGATTTATTTTCATATTTTTGTAGTTTCCACTTTATTAGAAGAGGCAAAACCTACATCAGGGATTTCTACATCTCAAAAGGATTTAGTATTCAACTATGAGTTGGGAGATATCCTTGTTTCAAAAAAAAAATATCATAGTTTTCTGAAAGATACTATAATTCATGTTATACTCATTCAAGTTAAGAATTTCCTAAAGCAATTCAGAAATGTTATCTTTCTTTTCAATTATTACAATATTAGAAAGAAAAACATTTAAGAATTAAAATTGAAACCCTATCTCCTACCTAGGACCTGTATATTTGCTATTATTCCCTCTGTCTAATTTTATCCGTCACTTTAAAATATTTGTCTCAAATTATTTGCCACTTCACAATATAAAGTAAGTATTAATTACTTTATGGAAGGGCATTTTAGTTGTGAATATAATTATTTTATCATGTGAATGGAGATAATCTATTTTTTTTCTTAAAATGTGTGCATTACTTTAAATGAAAGACAAAATGAGACAAGGGAATAATAGTTAGGAATTGATTTGTATATTTCCTGAATTATTTTCACATTCTTCCAAGTTTCCTGCAATTAGAGACTGTGAATTAATGTTATACATATACTAGAGGGACCAAGGCACTGTGTGCCTCTAATAGTTATACATAGATGAAATATTAGAAAGTTGCGTGTAGTTATTCAAAGAAGATATAAGAATTTTTTTTTACATCCGAGGGGTATAATGGTCCACTAAAAAGTGGAGACTAAAAGCATTTACATACCCCTAGTATCCCGTTTATAATAGGTATAAATACTCACTCATGCTGAAGAATTCCACAAGATATTCAAGAATATTTTCTTCCTTTTCAAGTATTATTATATTAAAAATTAAAGCTTAAATTTTGAAATTGAAACATCATGGACAATAATCACCAGAAGCAACAATAACACAAAATGAGGTATTGGTGGTGAATGATTATTCTGAAAGACTTGGACTTGGTACAAACATACTAGAATACAAGAAGAAATTTTTATAACAAACATTATGTCGAGGCTTTTACAAACTAAGCCAATTGTTTGTTCACCTTCATAAGTTTGTTCACATTTATTATTCCAAGTTATGTTAGTAAAACTTTGATTAAAAAAAATGAAATATTTAATGTAAAAAAAATTCATTTCAGAAAGCCCTTCATTATAATGATGCATACTAGTGAACAATAAAAGTCTCAACAATCAAAAATTATAATTGCAAATAGCTACAAAACCTCAAAATATCCAAATTCCAGAAAGGCAAACAATAACAGGAAATATCTGCTTCTTTTGAAGATAAACATTGCAAAAGGAAAAAAAATACAATAAAATATCTGCGCAATTGAAGGTAATAATAAGATTACCAGACTGAAGTGTGCAATTTCTACACCTTCGGTTGGCAAGCTATCACCTTTACCATCTGCAAAATGGGAAACATCATCCATTAATTTCGTACATGCAATTCAAATGGTTATGCAGCATATTATCACTTTAGCATTCCCCAATTATCATAAGTTGATAATCATCCCAAAATACTACTTTGAAGTGACAAAGTCAGGCAATAAATTGATGGTATCTTTTTTTTTTTTTTAATGATAATAAATTGATAGCATCTGCCTACATATTACCCTTTTATTTAATCAATTTAATAAGAACAGAGATGGCAGAGAGGGGGACTGAAAATGGTAGTTAAGTGTGTAAAGCATGTATGGTCTCCATATCAAAATCAGAAACACATTAGTAAACCAAGGGAAAGAATGAGAGTAGAAGACATGCGCTAATTCTTATGAATGCAAAGGCGTGTAAGAAAGATTTATTTTTTACCAAACAGAAATTCTTGACCCAACTTAGACATGAAGATTGAATAGGAGAGATGAACAAGTCATCTTAAAAATCTTAAAATTGTCAGTTTTGTAACGCACTACATATCCAGTTTTGATAAAAGTAGATAGACAATTGTCAAAGTAATGCGTAGATAAAATTAACATACTGCTAATATATATAAGTAATGACTGTAAGAAAATTTATTACGTTGAGGAGCAGCAACCAACCAAATGTCACAAAAATAGACCAGAATAAACAGATCTGCAATAAATAAATCCTCGGCAGCCCCATTTATTTTTTATGCATGTATGCTAACAAACTCATTTTCATTTAAAGGGGATATTAACTTCCCTTGAAAAACAACTAACCAGAAATTATGACTGGGTTTATGAAGGGAATAGAACAAAGAGTTTCTGACCTAGTGGATTGGGAATACCCGTGAAGACCAAAAAAAGAAGGGCATAGAACAAGAGAAAGCTATATCTTCACCAGAAAGCTGGCTATAAAACCAAAAAAGAAATGAACAAACAGTAACACCAAGCTCCAACAAGGATGTATCCATACAAAATTCCAGCTTTCAGAAAATGGATAGCGTCAAAAGATTCAAAACTGCATGATGTAATATCACCCCCATAATCTATTATCTATAGAATATTTGTGACCTTAACAGCCATGTTAAGAACTAGAATATTTTCCATGTTAATCTAAATATACGACACTGCTATTGTAGTAAAAAGAACAGCCAAAGAATTTCTTGCCTGTGTGAAAGTCAAATATATCTTCTTCTGAGTAACAAAAACCACCACGAGCTGTATAACAGTACCTAATATGGACAGACAGAAATATTTAGTTACCAAACACAATTCTATGACATTTTAAATCAAAATAAAAGACAAACATACCCACTATGAACCAGATAGAGGCGTATCTTGGCAAGCGCATAAGCAGCAGAAGGCAGAATAGATTCAAGCTCCTCGTCACTGACCTAAAGTATGAATTGGAATGAAGAATTCAAATACAAAGAAACAAAAACCTTTTCTCACCAGGTGATCAATTACATGACCAGCCCAAACCAAAGGACACCATTGTGTTTTGCCAAAATAAGCTTAAGCACAATCAAATTGTCTGCCTATTTCAAAAAGATTTGACAAAGTTTTTAAGTTAGATGTCAATTGCCTAACTCAACCATCCTCTTATCTAGATCTGGGACTAGCTATACAATGATTGGCAACAACTTGACATAGGCAGAGTTAGGATTGAAGGTTTTATTAGTAAAGATGGGTGAATATTTCAAAATTAGTTCAGGGGTTTGACAAGAGTGACTTGTAAGCTGTAATATATAACTGTGGTTCCTATTTTTTAAAACTTTAATGAATATAGGCAAGAAAATTTACTCCAAAATCAAAAACAAACAAACAAATGGAAACTTGGAATGCAGAATGGCAACTTACATCCGACCATCCATCACTTGTGCTCTTCAATATTTGGACAGGCCTGAAGTAAAAAATTTACAATTAGTCAATCAAAGGTCACCAAAATTCCGAATTACCAGCAGAGTCTATCTGGATACTGGATACAAGCTTAAAACAATTTTCTACAGGAAATAGTTTTTTTTTTTTGTTTTTTTTCCCGTAGAGAAGTTTTTAGAAACTATTTTAATCTTGTATCCAAACACAGTCATTCAAAGACAAACAAGTTTCAAAACCTTTTACTCACATATCAACGGGGCAGAGCAACATACAATCATCTCCTTGAGAACTCGTGAACTCTCTCCTTACAACACACTCTAAGGGAAGGTTATTCGCAGGATCGACCTGTTGCCAAGCCATTCACAATTCATTAATTCGTGAGTAGTCACACTCCAATCATAACAAGAACGAACCCTAACATTCCAAATTATAACAATGTCAATAAGAAACCGTCCATAACCATAACAGATACGTCGAACACAGGCACATGTTCCGAACAAATTACGCTTCCATTCAACCTAAAACGAACTCACCAGAGTGGCGAGCCGGTCTCTGGAAGCGGTGAGAACTTTGCCGCGCTCGTCTACGACGAATCCGGAGGGCGGTTTGGGCAGTGACGTGGGAAGTGGAGGAGGATTGGAAATGGAGTTGGAATCAGCAGCGATGGCGTTGCTGTTGTTGTTGTTGTTGTTTTTTTTCTTGTTGTTGGAGGAACGCTTCTTCGGTGGAACTGTGGGTGACTCGGAGGCTCTGCAGATGACAGGATTGAGCGTAGGGATTCGAAGCGAGAACGAAGGGAAGCGTGCTTTGTTGAGGTTGGAATGAAGAAGAGAGTGTAATTCGGGTCTTGCGGAGGAGGGAATAGCGTTCAAGATTGGTGCCGCCATTTCTGTTGTACTGTGCATGTTTCAGCACCGTCTTTCCGTTATAAATATCTGCAATAAGCTCCTAACTAATTTTATTGTAGTGGCATCAGCGGCTGTGTATCTTAACAGGTAAATTTCGGTACGAGAGAGACTAGGAATTAGGATGCACGACAGGATAAACATCTTAACATTAATTTTTTTTCTTAAGATGTGATTAAACTATTAGGATTGCTTGAGTAGTTGAGAAATTAGATAGATACACGAAGATTTAAGTTTGATTTTCATTGTCATTATTCTTGTATTTTTTTATTGATAAAAAAATGTGATTAAATAAATATAAAATTCAAAGGTGAATCACCATCATAAGTGATTTATCATGTACCATGATTAACAGTTGTTAGGTTAATTTATATTTTATGGTCTTATTTAAACTACTTTCATTAAAATTCACCTTCTTCTCTAACCCATATTTGTTGTCTTTTCCTTAACCAATTTCATGGTCATCTTGGTCATATCGACTTTAACAATAATAATAACAATTGTGATGATCATTTTTCGTCTTTGATTGACATTAGCCTCCAACTCAATGATGCATAGTTTTTTAGATGAACGTGGTGGAGAGTTGTGGTGATAAAGGCATAAAAGCTAGTCCAATCTGGTAGGTCAACTCTACTTACCACATGTCTGAAGTGGATCGAGTTAGAAAAAAAGTATTAGTTTTGGCTAAATTCTAACTCGATTCACTTAATGATAAGTGTCAATCTTATTTAAACGAATAAACTTTTTAACAGTTATCTAATTGGATTTAAAAGAAAAATGTGTTTTAACCTTCTAAAATATTGTAAAACCAAAAGGATGTCTAAATAGGTTAATTTGTGAAGAGTTGATAGATTTTGAACTTACGAATCCTTATTTTCATGCAAATTTGATCAAGTCCTAAGACCTCAAAATTTCATAACTATGCTTAGCAAATTTGCATGCGCTCAACTGATCAGAGACAAAGAGCTAGGATTTGCTGTAGTGCAAATCTACTCAGTCGTTTGGAAAGGGTTGAATAAATTTGATCCAGATGAGCCATAAAATTTAGCTTAAAAAAATGTTTAGTGAACCAAAAAGGGCTCAAGGTATGGAACTTTCTTCACCATGAAAATTTCAAAAATATGCTTAATCATTTGAAAAAGGGCTAAGTGGATTGCTCATTTACATCACAATTTTTTTTCTTGGACATATATAAAGGATTTGAGAGAGAAAATGAATATTGTTAGAACAGAAATAAAGAGAGAATAAAACTCTAAAGAAGGAAGTTAACCTCAAAACCATATAGGGATAGGGATATTGAGTTCAATGTTTTCTTTCTATGTTTTTATTGTACATGGAGATTGCTCGCACTGTCATGAATAACTAATATTTTTCTTTGTTGGGATTAAATATAATCTATCAAACTCTTTATAATAATTTTGATTTATATATACGATATTTTATTAATTAGTGTTAGCAATTTGATTTTGTTATTAATGCTAAAGGTGAATTGATCAATTATATTTTGAATTTTGATTTAGATTTTGGTTGAAAAATATTTTCTAAATCTGTTTTGAATTAAATAATCTAATGTTTCTAAAGGCTAAGAATAGATTTAGAGACATTAGTTGAACAAATTCTTAAGCTTAATGCAATAAATCTAATTTTACAAATTAAGAAGTCAATTATTAAATTATGATTTTTAGAATTTTTAAAGACAATAAATTGATTTATAATGATATTTGAGAATTCAATAACATTGAGTGATAAAAAATCATATGTAAATAATTTTAGGAGAGTGGAGAAGTGAGATAGATGAAATTCAACCCTAACAACTTGTCTCACTATTATCTTTCATTTTTATATTTGATTTCTATTGTTATTTTCTTTACAATTAATATTGAAATGCAAAATAATATATTCGTAATCAATTGTAAATCGTTCTTTTACAAGTTTTAATCAGGATACTAGTAATTACAAAATATATTCCAATTGCATGTGGAATTAACAATTCATACTCCAAAAATATATTATATAGTAGGCTTGGTGTGTTTGTTATAGAAAACTTAACTTGTGAGTCAAATATGTTTGAGCCAAAGTGAGTCAAGTTGCCTCGTTTAACCCATTATAATTAATATTATCTTTTGTATTTATATTTGAATCAATGATATATTTAATTTTTTAATAGAAAAGGTTGCAACCATTTATTTTATTTATTAAAGAGGAACATGAAATCAATTTTTATTTTTATTTTAAAAAAATTTGGTGAGCCAACCTATTAACCTGTCACCTATAATGGGTCAAGTCAGGTTAGGATTTCTAACTCACTAGAAAGTGAGTTAAGTTGAGCTAACTTGTTTAAAGCATCAACTCATAACTAGTCTACCTGTGTGTGTTAAATTAACTCACTTTGACACCTCTATATGACAATAATGACTAGAGACTTCCACCTTGAGTGAGGGGTGAAGGTTACATTATATTTAAGATGCTTATGACCATAGTTTTAAAAACCAGACCGGTCATCGAACCGGTTAAGGTACTGGATCAGTGGGTCAAAGGTTGAACCGGTGGGTCACTAGTTGAACCGCATGACTCGATTTTTATTAAAAAATATTTATATTAAATATATTTTATACTTATAAATTTTAATAAATTCATATCTTATTTTAAATTTCAATTTTTCTATCTTATTTAAAATTATTTTTATTTTTATTTTGTAAAAAAATACATAAAAAAATTACATGTTAAACGGTATATTAATACAAATTAAAAATATAAATAATATGTACATATATAATATGCTTGCAATTAATATCACAAAATAATATATGTAATATTTACATAGATATTGCATTATTAAATATATAATTTAAAATTAATAATATACTATAAAAGTTATTTAAGTTGTATATATTGCAAACAAATATATTAGAACAAGTAGTCATTGTTATATTTAATAAGACTCCTTGCTTTTTCATTAAGAGATTCAATTTTCATTATTATTTTTGTGATTTATGATCCCTTAAATTTTTTTTAAAAAAAATAAGAAAAAAAAGTGGTTGAACCAGTTTGACCCACCGGTTCACCGGTTGAACCGGAAAATTGACCGGTTCAATCCGGTTTGAAACGGGTCGACTGCATAACCGATCTAACTTCAGATTCAAACCGGCTGAACTACTGGTTCCAGGTCCAACCGGTCCAACCGGCCGGGTCGGTCCGGGTTTTAAAATACTGCTTATGACATAAATATATCAAGTCTACAAATTAAAAAAAATTATTTGATATTTTAATTTATTAAATTAAATTATTATATATTTTAAAATATATTATATGTCAATTTAAATTAATAAAGACTTTATAGATTTACTAAAAATATTTAATTAGTGATTAGATAGTTGAAATTTAATATTATTTCTGTTTCTATTTATAAGGCTTAACTTAAAATAATTATTTATTTTTTTATATAAGACCCAATTAATTTTTAGTATTTAATGTATTAATTATTATTATACTAAAATATCCTTAATCAAAACATATTCTCTTAATTTGATGAATACATCAATTATAGACTCTTTAAAAAAATTCATTCCAATTGAAAGAGAGAAATAGTATATAACACTTTAATTGGTTAAGAGAAAAATGTTTATATAATTAAATTGAAACGATAGTTTAATAATCTACATTACATAATCTGTTAAAAATCCAAAGAAAATTCGTCCTAAGAAAATCGTTTCTGAAATCTTACTAAAAAAAGTAAACATGTTCACCATCACCACAAAGGTGGCATCTCAATTATTGAGAAATGAGAAGACAAATTGGCGTACTGTTTGAACTTTGAAGTGGTCCTCGTCTTTATAAATGGTAGTAACGTGTACCGCTGTATTAGTGCATATTCCTATCATAACAAAGAAACGTGCGGCAATTTCTGAATGGCTACTTAGTTGTAATTATAAGCATGGAAAAGAGGGTTGAAAAAGTGTCCCAGTATGTTACCAGATTTATTTTGAAGAAAGGAAAAGAATCATTTATTTAGAGTAAATTTTACCCGATTTTTCTATTATTTATAAATTATAATAAGATTGTCTCGTTATGAGATGGGAAGTTACAGTATCTCTCATGTGTGTATCTTTGGCTCATATGCAACAGCTAGCTAGGATTACATTATTTTATTTATGGCGGTTGTGGTCCTTTAATTCTTTAACAGTCTTATGCACTGTTGTAGAATGGGCATCTGCCACTCCTCTGCACCAAAATAAATAATCAACCACAGGAATGATACCATACATTTTTTTATTATACTTCTTTTTAATATATATTTTATTGATTATAAAATCATGGAAGGTATTTTTTAATTAAAGTGTGAGATTCATTAGTAACTTTAATATAGTGATTCTCTCTTATAATATTCTCTCTCTAGTCATTAATAATTATTAAATATATTTAATAACTTAAATTTAATTTTATAATTAATGTAATTTTTTATTAAATTTAAATCATTAAATATATTTAATGATTATTAATATTATTGAAGAAAAGTTAAAAAAAAATATTGTAAGAAAGAATCATTAAATCCTGTCTTGTGTATGCAAGCCGCGTTAAATCTTGGGGTCAGTATTCCACCCTTTGAGGTGTCTCCAACGTAGCGAGAAGATTAGTCACTGCTATCGGCGATGATACTCCAGGAACGAACCAAAAAAAATAATTTTTAACGTTGGAAGGAGAGACATCTTGAGTTTTGTCTTTGTCTTAGACTCCTTTACTAAGAATAATAAAATAAAATTCTAAAGTACAAAACTATATTTATAATTTTTCAAGTACTTAAAAATCAAATTAGATAAAATTTTAAATATTACTGTCAAATTAGTTATTAAACATAATTAAAACATATCAATATAGGGACTAAACGAGTGAATATTTAATATTTTAGATATTATTTATATAATTTACCATTTTAAAATTATTTAAAATATAAGACTTAAACGACTAAATTAATAATTAGTTAAAAGATATAAATCTAACTTTTTCATTTTAGTTTCGGCACGTCAATCGCTATCAAATTTCATCGATTTATTTACTTTGTAGCAAGTGTACACAATACCCATGTGCGGCAAATAGTATTATTTTGCAATCGATCTCGCGAATTATAATCGAGTAGATATTTATTAATCGAAAAATCGAGTAAATAAATATTATAATATCTGAAAATAGCGAGCCTTTATAATATTAATATTTAAAAATTAAAAAGTATAAAATAAAATTTTAATATATTAATATTTAGATGATGGCGATGGAAATGAACGTTTACTCTTATATTATATTAATATATATAATAAGTATTGACATTAAAAATAAAAGAAAATTTTAAAATGGTAGTGAATATAATATTATAATTTGACGAGTAGTAATTGCGAAAGGCACGAGAAGAAGAAGAAGTTGTGTTCTGCATTATTCTGCAACGCGTAATTGGACTGCAGAAGGGAGAGGAGAGGAGAGGAGAGGGAACTGCAATTCAATTCTCTCTCTCCCCGGAACACCGCCACAGAAGACCAACCTCGTCTTTTCGATTCAAATCGCAAGTAAACTTCTTCATCTCTTCTCATGAGTTTCGTTGCTTGTTACCGTTACTGCTTTCGCCGCGTTGCGTTTAAATCAAATGAATGCTTTTAGTTTTAGGGTTGGAATTGGATGATCATATTCTTTTGATTCAGCTTCTTCAATTCGATAAGACGAGGAACTCGCCTTAATCATTATAATATCACAACAAACCAATTTCCGAACCCAAACCTTTATTTCTTTTTCATTCATTTGGGAATTCCTTCTCTTCAACCCACTTTTTTTTTTTTTTTTTTTTTTTAATGTGCCTGATGAGGATTCAGCTAATAATTTTCCCTGTCTTGCAGTGAAAACTAAGCTATAGGAACTATGATTTTATAAATATAGAAATGCTTCAACCCACTTTGAAAAGCTGAATTTGCAGTATGAAAAATCTTAATCGGAGGAATACTACTTAGGTTAAGGTTTTATGAGCTAGGTTGTTTCTCTTTCTCTAAGGGGCTCAAGTTGTGAACCACTTTTGACTTGGTATTTTCACTATTTTGTGTTAGTAGGTTGAGATTAACTAGGATATTTGGAAGGTTACGGTTTCACTTTCACCCACAGAATCAGAACTAGGATATCTTCAGTTACTGGGTTCGACTTTTAATCAGGATTTTGCCAATGTCTGTCAGAGAAGAAGAATTAAATAAAAGAAAGTTGTTTCAGTAAGAAAATAAAATGAAAAAAATATACTGAAAAAGGGAAAGAAAATGTATATTAGATGGGGATGGTGGGGTTTGGTTATTTCTTTGCTAGTCTTTAGGTTGGTGTTCGGCGAAGTTCTTGAAAGAATGTTGTTTTATTAAGTCAAACCAAAGTTTTGTCATTTTTATTTTAAATGAATTAAAATAAATATTTAAGCTTATAATTTAATTTACACAATTGACTTGTATAATTAGTTTTTGATGAATAATTATTCCGTTATGATGTTAAATATTTTACTTATAATTATATTCTTTAATTTGACCTCATTTATAACTTTTTTTTTTTACTTTTTTTAAAATAAGTAGAATTGGTGATGTATTTTTTTTTATAAAAATTATTACTATAGTTGTGACAATTACTATATATTAACTACTTTTCTGTAACAAAAAAGAAAAAAAATGTAACAAAAAAGTATTAACTACTATTCAAAGATCATTTACCACTTCAGTAGTTGTTGTATTAAAATTTGTTCTATTTTAAATCTTAAATTTTAAACCATTAAAAAATAATATATACAAGCCAATGATACTAATTCTTTTTATTTTCGTTTTGGCGTTTCAATCTCTTTCAATTTCATTTATTTATTTTTAGTTACTTTTCTATTTATGCATTGCATGATAATATGTTTTTGCTCTGAATAATTTTATTAAATGACATCGAATCAATTATGAAAATTTTAAATTAATGCAGCTCCATTTTGGCCAATTATTATCAACAATATCTATTTTTTTAAAAAAAAGTAAATAAAATTATTTGATATATGCATTTAATTTCATAAATAAGTAGTGACGAATCAGTAAAAGTAACTAGAGAAAAAGAAGATAAGATTTTTAGAATAAGTAAAATCCTAGTAGCATTTGCAAAAGTTTTTAGTTCATGCATCTTTTGAGTAAAAAATAAAAACAAAATGATTTAAAATCCAATATTTTCAATTATAATAATTACTAAGTATTAGATATTTTTCTTTACAGATATTTTTATTGTTTTAATTTTGAAATCCATACACAATTAGAAAATAATTTAAAGCTTGAGGGAATTGTTAAGTAGTGCTCCTTTATTATTTAATTTTCATGCTGTGTAATCAAAATTTACTAATTTCCAATTATGCAGTTTATTCATGCCGGAAATAATATTAAAAATTGAGAATTATTTCATCATTTAGTATGTGTATTGATTTTTTTTTAAATTATTATTATTATATAAGATAGTTATGACTGGAGGAGCAATGGAAAATAAGAGAAATGAGGGAAGCTATAAAATAGAAGAGAAACTCGGGCTAATGAAAATAGTGATTCAGATCTATATTCTAATTTCTATAGAAGATGATCTCAACTGAGATCTATTGCAACTATATATATAGTTAGGTTTTTGGATCTTCTCCTGTTATCGAGTAATATAATATGGTCATATTAAAGATTAAAGTATAATTAGTGTATCTTAGTCCTCCTATCAATCATGGTAAATCTTTATATGATAAAAAATGTAACTTTCTTTTTCTAACATGACCATATCATATTACTTAACAACAAGAGAGGATCCAAAGTATTATTGGAGTGACTACTCTAACTGAGAGAGAACAACTGACAACTCTCAGTTCTGAACAGAATGACACAAATGTAACAGGCCCAACAGAAAATACAACAGTTAGATAGAATATATAATAGAGTATATAATAGGAACAGATAACAGGGTATGGACGTCACTTGCAACACAGTTAGATGATATTAGGTGTAGGACTTAATTCATAAATTAGAGAATCCCGCCTATATTATTTTTACTTTTTGGTTCATATTCTTGTATTTTAGCTGTAGGACTTATTTGGGGATTCCCTTCATACATGGAGTGATAAACTAATACAGTTAGGTTGTTTTCCATAAATAATGTGTTTGAGGCTCAAACAATTGTTCTCTTTTGAGAACAAAGTTGACTAATATGGTTCTTGTATACAATAAAGTGGCAAGAACTTCTAATTCTTTGCAATAATAGTATCCAAATTTTTACTGTGAGATTTTGGCTACTTCACATTTTCCTTTTCAATTTTGCCAGAATAATTTCATATCTTAGAATTTAATTAAACCCCTATAAATACCTTCTTTTTTCAATAACTGATCCATGTCATTATTAATTTATTATTCAACTTACATATAGTTATAGCAGTCTCTCTTATTCGTGCATGCTTTTATAGTTTGTCTATGATTTGTGAATGAAACTAAAGTAGTTGGACTAACAAAATAAGCTTTATCACACTAGTTGCTCAATTATATTTACTCTGCTTTAGATCTCTTGTCCATCAAAAGATGGTAGAAAATGCTTCGAGAACAAACCTTAGCTGCCGACGAGGTTATGACATTGAGGATGACTCCATAGATGGCATGCCATTAAAAAATGACTCTGAATGCTATGATGATGATGGCCGGGCCAAACGAACAGGTACACATTTTTTTTATCAATAGAAATTGAACTCAGCAGAACAAGTGCACACATTAGTTAAATTGTTTTTACATTATATTTGTTTCTTTGATTGTATGGAATGATGTGATTTGATCAATTACTATGAGGCAGGAAACGTTTGGACTACAAGCTCCCACATAATAACAGCTGTGGTAGGATCTGGGGTGCTCTCCTTAGCCTGGGCAATAGCTCAGATGGGTTGGATTGCTGGTCCTGCAGTCATGCTCTTATTCAGCTTAGTCACTTTGTATACTTCATCCTTTTTAGCTGATTGTTATCGTACTGGTGACCCCTTATTCGGAAAGAGAAATTATACTTTCATGGACGCAGTTAGCAACATTCTGGGTACGATATACGGATACAGTATTGTTTATTTTGGAATTCAAGTATAAGTGATCTGATTTTCTACTTTACTAACAGAAGCACTTTCTTTTGACAATATTAGCATGCACTGTTCGTTCATAGTTTCAAATTTACGTGTTTGTATTTAAATTTACTAAAAAACTTTCACGTGAATTAACATTTCTGTATATATATTGACAATCATGGTCTTTTAAAAATGGAATGCATATTGTATGATGTAGCATAACATGCATTATAATTGATTTTGCAGGCGGGTACAGTGTTACGTTCTGTGGGATAGTTCAGTACTTGAATCTTTTCGGAAGTGCAATAGGATACACAATTGCGGCTTCCCTTAGCATGATGTGAGTTCACCCTTCCATGTCTTTGAAATCATAAAATTCACAAGTTGAGCTTATTTATAAATAATATAGGAAAGGAATAAAAATAAAATAAAGATTTATTTATTTATTTTTATTTTGTGTGTATCAGATTTGTGTGGATTTTAAACTTATTTTAATTATTTAAATTGAATATGTTGTTCAGATTGATTTAGCCATTTTAAAAATTAAGCTAAGATAACAAAATAATATTAATAAAATAAAGTGAATTTTAATTTATCGGTATTGTGTTACAAATAAGTACATTCATCTAGAAATAAGTTTAAATCATTCTTCTTTATTAAATCTTAATTAAGCAAGTTATAATAGTTTTATTGATGAAAAAGTTACATATTAATGATATGTATTAAAATGTACTATTATCACACCTCTGAATCGTGCAGCATGATAGGTCATTCACTTCATTGCCACTTCACACAATATTTTTTTACTACTGATAGGATTATATAGATTGATGATGGTTGAATGGTTGATCGTTTTACTTCAATTTTACTGGTTTTGATTGACAGGGCAATCAAAAGATCTAGCTGTATCCAATCCTCTGAGGGGAAAAACCCATGTCATATTTCAAGTAACCCGTACATGATCGGTTTTGGCGCAATACAAATTTTATTTTCTCAAATTCCAGATTTTCATAACATGTGGTGGCTCTCAATAGTTGCTGCAGTCATGTCTTTCGCCTATTCCTTAATTGGTCTCGCTCTTGGAATTGCCAAAATTGCAGGTTATATTCCTACTTCACTTTTTTTATACAAATTTTCTTATAATTCTTGGATAACATTTTACTGGTACATAGCCTCTCCAGTTATAGGTTTATTGTAGAAAACGTCTTATGGTTCAAAATTTCGTGACGCACTCTCTTGAACTTGTCAAATCATATAAAGATGCTGGTGCGATTTAATCTCTTGTAGATATGTGAAAGAACCTACGTAGGGACTTTAATTAAAATGGGTTCTTACATTTACACTGTTCTGTTTAATTGGTTTTGTGACAGAAACGGGAACGTTCAAGGGTAGCCTCACTGGAGTAGGTATTGGAACTGTGACAGAGGCCCAAAAAGTATGGGGCGTTTTCCAAGCTCTTGGTAACATAGCCTTCGCCTATTCATATTCTTTCGTTCTCCTTGAAATTCAGGTACACCTTTTTTTCCTTCTTGTAAGCAAAAGCAAAATAGATCTTAACCATCACATTTATGCAATTTTAACCATCTGATTATATGATTCCACTTCATTTTTAGCTTACCTATTTCACCACATACTCTAAGTGTGAAGATATGTGAATATATATGATGTGCAACAAGCTTTATTCAACCTAATTAATGTATAATATTTTGATTACACAGGATACCATTAAATCTCCCCCATCTGAAGTAAAAACAATGAAAAAGGCTGCAAAGTTAAGTATTGCAGTGACCACAACATTTTATATGCTTTGTGGCTGCACAGGCTATGCTGCTTTTGGAGATTCAGCACCTGGGAACCTTCTCACTGGATTTGGTTTCAGTAAACTCTATTGGCTTATAGATATTGCTAATGCTGCTATCGTAATCCACCTTGTGGGGGCATACCAAGTGTATGCCCAACCTCTCTTTGCCTTCATTGAAAAGGAGGCAGCAAGAAGATGGCCCAAAATTGACAAGGAATTCAAAATCTCAATCCCTGGTTTGCAACCGTACAATCAGAACATTTTTAACCTAGTTTGGAGGACAGTATTTGTGATCATAACCACTCTTATAGCAATGTTGCTTCCATTCTTCAATGATGTTTTGGGACTGATTGGAGCATTGGGGTTTTGGCCTTTAACTGTCTACTTTCCTGTGGAGATGTATATCTTGCAAAAGAAGATCCCAAAATGGAGTACAAGATGGATTTGTCTTGAATTGATGAGTGTGGTCTGCCTTATAGTAACAATAGTTGCTGGTCTGGGCTCAGTGGTGGGTGTCTTGCTTGATCTCAAGAAATACAAACCACTCAGTTCATACAATTAAACCCCACATAGCATCTGTTGCCTCCTTGGGGATATAAGGAAATGCTGAAGTTGGTGATGGTTGTGATCTTAATTGTATCATTATCTTATAAGTTGTGCTTAATCAAAATTATCCCTATGTTAATTTAAGAAAAATCGGTACTTCAAATAATTGCTGTCCAATATATTTTAGATACTTCTAGTCTACATTTTTTCATTATTTTGTACCGATACAAAGGGTACGTCATAATGATTAAATCAATTTAGTAATTTTTTGTGCTATATTACTCATGAAACATGTTATTAATTTCATTTGAGACTTGATATTTAATGTAAATATTAATTTTTTTTACATTATATATAGGTTTAATTGTCCTCCTAATTTAGTATTGGTCTTCATAATTTGAATTGCTTAATTTTGGTCCATAAATTTAAATAATGGGCAATTTTAGTCCCACAAACAATTTACCATCCAAAATTTAACAGACGTTAATGCTGTGAATTTTATGTTAAATAAACATTAATTATATATCATTTAATTTCTTACGTGTCAAATTATATAATATTTAAATTTTAAATTTTTTTAATTCAAATAACATTGAAAACAAAATAAAAAGGGTATTGATATCAATCGCAGTGAGAATTTCTCACTAAAATAGAATTTTTATAAAAAAATTTTTTTGCGTTTTGGATCTGAGCATGGTGTAAAACTGGATCAAGAACGGCCCGTTCTCCTTTTAGAATGGGTCGTTCCAGATGCAAAAATACATGATGAATGGATCAAAACGGGCTGTTCTGCTTGGACGTTCCAGTTTCAAAATTAAAAGACTACGCGTGCAAGCAGAATGACTCATTCTGCTTGGAGAACGGGCCATTCCAGTTGCAACATTAACACACAACCTGAACTACAAACAAAAAAGAAAAAAATTTTAGCACTACTCAGAATTCGGTTCTCCGGGAACCGACTTCTGAGCAAAAAACAAAAAAAAATAATTGAAGTTCAGAATTCAGTTTCTGGGGAACCAAATTCTGAGTGTGAACAGTAAAAGGTGCTACTTCTATAAATAAATTGGAACAGGTGCTGTTTTGGTAAAAAAAATTTAAGAAAATTTTATTTCAGTAAAAAATTCTCGCAATGATTGTTGGAAAGAGATGATACTAGTGGCGATCATGGCGGAGGTGCTGGAGGAGTACACGGCGTTGCTGGCGAGGGTGTTGGTGAAGTAACAAAGGGAAGGGTACGGAGGATGAGAAAATGAATTTGAATTTAAAATTTTTAAAATTTGAATATTAAATAATTTGACACATAAAAAATTAAATAATATATAATTAATGTTTATTTAGCATAAAATCCATATCATTAACGTCTATTAAATTTTGGATGATAAATTGTTTGTGGGACTAAAATTGTCTATTATTTAAATTTATGGAACAAAATTAAGCAATTCAAATTATGAGGACCAAAATTGCTCCTACACTAAATTAGGAGGACCAAAAGTGTAATTATATATATATATATGGAAAAATCTACGGTACCCACTATAATAGTGGGGTACCGGTACAGTCGTTTAATTTTTTTTTTTTAATTGTAATTATTTGTTTTATTTTTTTTTAATATTTTTAATAATTTATTTTTATAAAATTTTCTAATTTTTATATTATTTTTATATTTTTTAAATTTTATCATAATATAGCATCTATTATAATTAAATAGTTTAATATTAATATTTTGTTAAAATGTTTTAGTTTTTTTTTGTATTAATTTTTTGAATTTATAGTATAAATTAGTTTTTTAGTTATATTATTTATTATTTTTCTTTCTTATTTTAATATTTTTATAATGTTATTATACTTTTTGTTTTTAATTTTTTTAATTGTATCACATATAAAAAAAATTTGCTATAAAAATTGATTTTTTAATTATTTTTTTTAATTAATCTTTTTGATAGACTCATCTTCTACAAATTTTTAATCTAAAATTTATGTTATTTTGAATTTATTTCTTTTAAAAAAAAAATTTGTTTGAAGAGCTGAGCCTTAGCTCAATTCATTAACAATAAGAGAGAAGATACAATTTGGGATGTATGCAAAATCCTTAAGATTAGCATAACATTTGGAGGCCTTTGCAAGGTTGGCAGCCACCAAATTAGCTGATCTATGAGTGAAACTTACATTAAAGTTGGCACAAGAATTTATCTTATTTCTACAATGGTTCATAATGTCACTAAATTCAGTTCTATCCTTCAGGTTGGGATGAAGGAAAAAATTTTCAATTCTGCTACTACTGGACTCGAAAAGGATGGGCGAATATTGATTTTCCGAAGCCAAAATGATGGCTTGCATGAGAGCAATAGCATCTCTAATACTGGCAGGAGGAAGACCAGGGATCTTGAGGGTACGTGCACCCACAAAGGAACCCAAGCTGTCTCTAATGCAGAGACCGATTCCAAATGTATTCTCATCAGGGTTAGGGAATGTAGCAAAATTGCACTTGTATGAACCATGGGGCATATCTTTCCATAAGAGATTATTCCTGCTAGTCCAGATACTCCACATCATCATGCAAAAGTCAGCCGCATCAGATTTGGACCAAAGATTAAGGATTTTGTTCACAAGATCAGAAGTACCATTAGCTTGATCAATGTTGGAGCTCATCTTATCCTTTAGGTTATTCATCTTATCCTTTAGGTTACAAGCCAGCCAACAAATTCTCGCATCATAACATCCAAACAGCGCATGCCAAGAATTCTCGATACCAACATCACATCTTGGGCAACTGATGGGACAGCTCACACCTTTCTTTTGAAGCTGGGCACGGGTAGGAAGGATTATAGACTCTCCATGTGTGATGTTTCACTTTCGCAGGAATAGAAAGACTCCAAATGATGTTCCAAGTTTTGTCGGGGTCCATAGTGTTAGTTGGGAGGAGAGAGCTTGTTATAGCTTTATACGCAGACCTGACCGTGAAACATCCATCATTGGACCATTTCCACACGTAAGAGTCATCTGTGCAGTGGCTGTAAACGGGAGTGTTCTTTTAAATTTATTTATTCACATAATTTGAGATATCAAAATCTTTTAATTATCATGAGTACCATAACAATTACCTATATATATATATATATGTTAATTATCCCAGTGGGACAAGACTTTGTATTGTTATATATAGTCTAATTCCGTATCCCTGCTTCCAGTGTTACATCCTTCTTTCTTGAATGTAATTTGCTTAATATTCACTTATCCAAATTCGGGCGGAAAATTTTTGGTGACATAATGTATTTGGAGTGAAAGAAACAATCTTGGGGAAAGTGAAGCCGAAAGTACACCTCTTGTACACAGGAGCTAGAATTAATATTGATATGATGCATGAGGTTCTTCGAATCTCTTCTGCTTGAGTCAAGTCTAATGTGAATAACAAAACAAAGTAATTATAGATGTGACTATTTTCTTTTTCTTTTTCGGGAAGAACATGCATGTGATATCCAAATAGTTCAGAATATAGTATATCGGGGGCAAAGCTAAAATATTTTCACGTAATTCTTAGTTGCTACTTTGCCAGAGAGATTTTTTTTATATATTTTTTTTCTTCCCACTTGAGGGCTTAGTTTCAGGAACATTTTTTTAGTTAGATTTTTCTTTTTCATGAGTATTCTTCTTCAAAAGTAATCCCAATTGAGACATGGTGGTGTTTAGAGGCAATCACGTTGTAACAAAGTTAGATGTTGAACATGCATCTGTTGGTTTTGAACCGAATCAGATTGGGAACCGCACCGAAGCCATTTAAACAAGCTATGCCACTAGGCTGAAGTACTTGAATAATATTACATTCCGTGTTTATTATAAGATACAAATTTTAAATTAGTTTATTACCTTTTATAAGATCTGACTTATTATTTTAAAATTTCCACCAAATTCTTTTATTATTATTTTAAAATATTATTTGTTTTAAATATTCTTATTAAATATATTTTTTGAGTTAAATAAATAAATAAAATTTATTTACTTTATATCTCTTAAAATATAAATGCTTTTTTCTTCTTAAAATGCAAATTTTTTAAAATATATATGAAGAAAGAGATAATTTCGGAAAGAATTACAAATTTAAGACATATTTATTAATCTTTAAAAAGTAAACTATTTTTTCTTAATCTTTGTGAAGTAATAATTAGTTGGATCCAACGAAGATTGAAGATAGTATATATATTATATGCGTTCCTTCCATCCCATTTCTTTAGTAGTTTAAGGTTGGTGCATAAATTAAATAATATATTTAATAAGTATAAATTTGGACTAAAAATTCTTATTAGATATTCCATTAGTAGCATTAATATTAATGTGTTCATTGGTTGTGCAGCCTATTCTCTAGTGAAAACAAGTGAGTAGTTGGTGGATGTATATGTATTAAATAGAGGTAAAAAAATTATTCTGAGAAAAAAACGAAAAGCTAAAAGCATTAAAAAAATGTAATAGAGCAAGGATATTTTTAGGCTAAAATTATAATTTGGTCTTTATAATATTTTAAAATTTTAATTTAGTCTCACTTTAATTTTTGAGTTCAATTTAATCTTATCTATTAAAAATGTTAGTAATGTTTGCCTTCCGTCTAAATTTTTCAAATGCCGTTTAGGAGTGTTCATGTGATTGAGAATCACGGGCGTGATTGAAAGTTATTGAGAATTAAGGGCGTAATTCTCACGACTCTTACTTAGCAGATTTTTTTATGTGATTCATACCGTGAAAATCACGGACGTGATTCTCATGACTCTTAAATGACGTTTGAGAAATTTAGATGGAAGACAAACATTGTTAGTATTTTTTTACACGTGAGACTAAATTGAACCAAAAAATTAAAATGAGACTAAATTGAAACTTTAAAATATTATGTGAGATGAAATTTAGGTTTTAGCCATATTTTTAATATAAAATTCATATTCATACAGGTGAAGTTGAACCACAACTTACTGGTTCAATTATTAATGTGACTATGGACTCAATACCCTACCCACCTTATTAGATTACAGTGCCTTCATTAATGAAGATATCAGCAGTTTCCAGCAACAAATAAACATAGCTGGTCCCTTGAGTATTTTATATATTCATTGGAAACAGTACAAAAACAAATGAGCCTAGAGTATCCATAAGAAGAAGGGAGTGTAGATGAGTATGGAAGGATTGTCCCAAATTAACAAGGGCTGAGATTGGCAAACAATGAGCACATCCTTTTGAAGATCAACGAAAAGGACAAAGTCCAATCCCTATCCCTGACAACTACCTCCATAATTCTGTC